CTATTTTCGAGATTCTTTCCATTAATATTAAATCTAAATAAAATTGAAATAAATTCCACATACTAAAGAAATCAAGAATGCTTGGTATTAAAATATTGTATTAGAGCAGGAGAATCGAATGCTATTAATAACAACTGAAGAAATAGCCGATAAAAGCTTAAATTCATTTTTATGCTCATCAGCACCTAAATTTCAGATTAAAAAAAATGTAGTATTTGTCGATAAAATTCATAATTTCGTTACACTTCAGAGACTCACCGTAAAACTTTCAGGAAATTTTTTCTTTTTTTTTTTTTTTTTTTTTTTTTTTGAAGTCTTTCCTGCGGTTGCTTAAAATCTTATGTCGATCCGAGGTGTTGTATGAGTTTTAGAGACATTTTCTACGTTGCTATTGATTTTTTTTTTTAAAGGGGGGGGGGGTTGAATTATTTATTTATTTATTCCTAACATATTTTAAAGTAACAGTTGCAGCAAACTCCACGAAGTTAATCTTGATTGTGACCTTTAGGTCAAAGGTCAAAGGTCAAGGTCATTAAAAAAAAAAAAGAAAAAAAGAACTTTGCTTTAAACTGAGTTCAACACTGAAATGTACATGAATCTAGATGCATGTTCTGATTTTTTTTTTTTACCTTTGAGTCAGTGTCAAGGTCAAAGGTTAAAGGTCAACGTTCAAGGTCAAGGTCAAAGTTCAAGGTCATTTAGATAAATAGCTGATATCAACAATTTATATAGTTTTCAATGACCTTGACCTTTGACCTTGACCTTCATTTCAAGGTCAAAGGTCAAACATGCCCATGCAGTTGGTTCCATGTCTCTAGGATAGACCCTTTGAAAAAAAGTTCATTAAATGTAAGCAGCGAAAAATTTCAGGGACAGTAACTCATAGAAGGGGCCGAAGAACCCTTTCGCACTGTATAGATTGAAGAGTGTACTAAATGAGTCGAAGACACTGATGAGGGTTTGGAATCTCTACGCTTTACGGTTTCAGAGGAGTAGCGATAACAAGGTTTTATTGCGAAAGGGGTGACAACTTTTGAATGGGTCAAGCTTGGGGGACAAGAATGAAATCTTTAAAATAGTTTTAGAAGGACAAATGAAAGATGCAAAGATATGTAGTATATGTTGAAAGACAAAAGAGCTATAAAAAGAGCTAATTTTCTTATATTTTGAATGACCTTGACCTTTGACCTTGACCTTAACTTCAAGGTTTAAGGTCAAAGAATCTTATGCAGTTGGTCCTATTTCTTTACGACTTATCGTTAAGAAAATTTTTCATTATTCGTAAACACCAAAAAATCTCAGAGGCGATAACTTATTAAAGGGCTCGACAAATCATTTCGCAATGAAAAGATTGAAAAGTCCTCTCAAGTAGTCAAAAACATTGGTAATGGTTTCGAACCTCTGCGGTTTATGATTTCGAAGGAGTAGCGATAACAAGGTTTTTCGTTCAAAGGGCAAGAACTCCGAAAGGGGTCATAGGTCATACTCGTTGGGTAGTTTTTCGAAACAACTTTTGATGTCGAGTATCATGAACTATAGAGTTCTTCGAAAAGTCTTTCGGTTCAAAAGGCGGTAACGGAAAAATAATAATAATAATAACTAGGAGACTAATTGTTCAGAGAACAATTAGAGGCCTTTCCACCTTTTTAAGTGTTTCCGTGTCATTTGGGTTGAGAAAAAGTAGAAAAATGCAAAAAATGGGGAAAAAAAAAAAAAAAAAAAAAAAAAAAAAAAAAAAAAAAATTTGCTCCTCCAGCAGGGATCGAACCCAAAACCCTTGGATTGAAAGGCAAGTGCGCTAACCATTCGGCCACGCATTCTGATATCATGCGTAAGTTAATTGTTTAAGACTATAGAAGAAATGCAAGCGTATTTTTAGAATCGGTAGGGGAAGAAAGAAGTTCCGTAAAAGGAAATAGTTCCTGAATTTACAAGCAGTATATTAAATAATAAGGGACGGGCTGCGTAAGAAAACATTAACACTGTTCCCTAATGAAAATGTATTAATGGACTGTAGCCCGATTCATCGATATTGTGAGCATGCTGAATTTTTTGTAAATAGCTTTGTTGTAAGCTTAAAAGATCGGGTTCGGATTTTAACATTTCTGACTGAATATCCTGAAATAACTATGAAACATTTAAATAAGCATTTCTTTGGGTTAAATTAAATATGTGTATCACAAATTAAACTCCCAACATGCATTTTTAGAAGGGAAAGACGACAATGAATGCGAGAATTGTTTTTAATCTACCGAAAATCGCTATTTCTGGAAACTGATTAATTCTAAATAAAAATCAAATAAATTCCAAATGTAAAAGAAAGAGAGAATGCTTGGTATTAAAATGTCGTATCATATCAGGAGAATCGAATGCTGCTAACGACATCTGAAGAAATAGCCGATAAAAGGTTTAGATCATTTCTTCGTTCACCTGCACTTTAATTACAAACACAACAGAACTTGTAGTTTTTGCCGTGAAACTTCAAGACTTCTATAAACTTATAGGACTCACCGTAAAACTCTCCAGAAACTTTCTCTGAGGTCTATACTACAATTGTACCAAATATGGTGTCGATCCGAGGTCTGGTTTGAATTTGACAGAAATATTCTACGCAGTACAGTTAAGGCAACATTTTCGACAAAAAGGCACCAAAAACGAGATACTTAAACTTCAACCGTCTTATTTTTCAGCATGAAACTCTATCTGAAATATCTTAATGGCTTTATGAAGAGTTTGTCCATCGCTTTTCACATCAGTATTTTTTGTCATCATGTGACCCTCTAAAGTCACGTGAGCTCCGATTTTAGGTCAAAATATGAAATGTCAAATTTAACCAAAAAGTGCAAGGGCAAGGCAAACAATATTTGAACTGCACAAGGTTTCATTGTGTCCCTTGGTATCTATCCTATCGAAAAACTGATGCTCATTCAGTCAGATTTCTGAGATATTTAAGTTATCCATTGAAAACAAACACCAGTATTCAAAAATAGAGTATTTTTCAACATTTAATCGGAAATTTTAAATTGCCTAATGAATTACAAAGAAATGAGCATCACTCTTGAAAAACTATACAGTAAAACAAAGAATTTAAAATAAAAACCTACCTCTTGGGTTGTCGCCTTGCCCTTGCACTTTTTGATTAAAAATTGAAATCTTAACACATTCATTCTAAATATAGTTTTCAAACGCATCATTAACCCAGCATGGGAGATAACTCTGTGGTACTTAGTAGAGTTTGTGTACCTCGCAAATTTTAAACAAATACCTACGGACTGCGCTGGGCTTTATTTCACTAAATCAAAACGGTATGCATAAAAAAATCTTTGACTTTACTTTGTTTTGTATATCTTCGTTCTTTTATACGCTACACAAGACGTATTTGACACCTACCGCATTTCCTCCGTTTGCCTAAAATTTGCCGCAACATGCAACATCCATCATGCAAATAAATTGGAAAATGCCCATGGTTAAAAATATTGAAAGATTCAGTCATTTGTAATAAAAATAAAAAATAGACAGCCCCTATCAATGATTAAACATTTATTCTTCCTCAGTAGACACACAGAAAAATATCTCCAACAGAACTTAGTAGTTTTTTTTTTCATATGTGATTATTTTAGTTATCAAACCTTCAACTGTTTATGGATTCTAGACTACGTTAAAAGTTTTAAGAACAGAAGGAAGGGATTGGGGTGCTAACTCCTGTATTTAATAACCTGTTTTCCTTTCTACAGATCTAACCCCCCCCCCCCTCACCATACCATATACTTACTGGCATGTTAAAAATAAATTATTAAACAGTGTTTACATCAGGTTTTACTTATTTGGGTATTATAGCACAAATCATATCGGCGTAGGGGGGGTGGGGGGGGGGAGGGGCTTTAGTCTCATGTTTTTGAGTTATTATCAATCAATGCGCAAACAAGATAATCATAGTAAAAACTTTGTAATACAGAAACAGATACTCTGTTAAAGAACAGGTGAACACGATATACATCCTGAAATTTAGATCTTGTTGTACCCCAAAACACAGACAGGCGCATACCAGAATGGAAGTGAAATGTACGCAGAGAACGGCTGGGGTACGCTTTGAGACCCCCAGTGGGTCCAGGCCCCGGGGCCATAAAATTTAGACGAGCTCACTTTTGATCTTAATCTCACTTTTCCACTATATATTCCTTTTGTAAAAGTGAGACTGAGATCAAAAGTTAGCTCATCTAAGTTTTATGGCCCTGGAGCCAGATGAGGGCCCAGGGGCGAAGTCCCTGGAAGCTCATGGTTTTTACCAAATATTTCATTCAAAATCATGCCATTTCGATTTTCTTTAGAAAATACAAGACATAGTAATATTGTTTTTAACACAAAGTTAAATACTTCCGTGCAAATTTATTGTACATGTAGAGGCTGAATATTTTTTTAAAAGATATATTGGTATCATCTTTCGGCAGCAAATATAATTAATAATTTCAATTTTTAACAAAAATAATATTTCAAATCACATTCTAGTGGATCACATCATTCAACGGTTGATATTTTCTCAAAGAACTTAAAATAAATTATCAATGTGTTGTAGAAGAATTACAAATTAATGAATGTTTTATTTGGTTTGGCAATGATTTAATAAAACATTAGAATTTTTTTTATTTTTTTTTTTTATAAAGACATGGTAATATAGAATTTGAATGTGAATCGAAACAGTATGAGATAAAATAATTTAAAACAGAAATATTTGCTGGATGGTATTGATATTTTTTCTCTTCTCACAAATCTCTCCCTCCCCCTCCCCCCCCCCCCCATTTTTTTAAATTTGTAAACGATGTGTACGCACCTGCGTATTTGCGTATAAGCAGCTACGCGCCTGTCAGAATACATGCAAGTAAAGATACTCAAATCTTAACAGCCTTCAAACTTTCACACCATTGTACTGTTAAAAATTCAAAGTATCAGTTATCTAGAAAATTTATTTAATTAAAAACAGCCTTTCAAATTCAAAGACAAGCTGTGAAGGGATTTCTGAGCAAGTGCAAATATTTCAAACAGTCCACAGTTCAAACAGTTCTTCTGGATGAAATCAATTCTGAAAACAAAATGAAATACCATTATGGAAGGTTCATTGGTGTTTTAAAAAAGTGATACTCAAAACAATGCATTGAGTAACATGGAAAGCATATACATGACTCTCCTGTTTTTATTATCAAAACATTTCAATAATCTTGCTAGGAATATGTATGGTTTAGAGCTTATATGGAGCATACCTTTTTATTTTATTGGTGGAAACACTTGCTGCCTGAATGAATTGTTCAAATTGTTCGGGAGTAGCTACAACACAATATATATGTAATGAGTGAAAAACATAATGATTACTATTGTAGAATGAAATGACATTGCATTGTACAAAACAAATCATGCTATACTATATTTTCTGAAATTCATAAAATAAATGGAAACAAACTTTTGATACAAAACTTTTCTGGGAAATTGAAACCTATGACATTTTCAAAAGTAGAATTGGTAGCTATACTTAATTTAAGTAAAAAAAAAATGAATATACTACAGATAACATTTAATTCTTTCACCTATGCAACATTTTAAAAAAAATATTTAACACTGGCATACTATAAAATTAATGTGAAATGCTTGAAATGCTTTAGTGTGATCATACCCAGTGGAGAAATTGATGCATGTATTTTGATAGTTCTAGCTGATGTAAATGCTAGTTTTAACCAGTTCTGTGATAGCTACAATGACAAAAGAATTATACATATAAACAGTTCATAAATACATGTATTTACATATCAGACTGACTTAATGTACATGTAGTCAGACAAATGAAAATTCAAACATTTTATCTTCATTAATGTAGAAATTCTACAAATTTACAGCCTAGTGATATAGATAGTAAAAGTTCTATGATGAATTTAAAATATGAAGCACTGGTAAAAACTGAAATCTTAAAATTCACATATTTTTGATTGCCAGAGGTAAAAATTAAAATTTATAGGGTCTTATACTCTTGTATGTGCAGTGCACATACATTGTACACTGTGCAGTTTGACTTCACAAATACACTGTAAGTGTGACTGCATCTAAATTATACTATTTGATATCATGACGTGCTGTGCTTATATTATGTTACATGTCTGTACATGTATGCCAAAGGACAACATCATTGCATATTTAAAAGTGTTCAACTTTCATAATGTGTGTGTTTTTGGGCATGTGTGTGTGTGTGTGTGGGGGGGGGGGGGGTTACACACAAGGCACTGCATTGCAGTTTGTGACGGACTGTAACAATACATCTTATTGTACATGTTAAAGGTTATTTTACATCGATGTAAAGAATAGTATGTCTACATGTTAATACCTATGCACATACACACCTTAATGAACAGAAAGGAACCTAGGGAGGTAGTGCGGATCGTCTCAGTTTTCCATGATTTCCCGAAATAACGTCATCATCTTCTCATCAAAAAGATTAACAAGGCCCAGGTCTCTTATTTTATCCCTATTCTCTTTAAAGATTCCCTGATTGTTGCATTTATCCACTGCATATCTCAGCTGCTGTCGCCACGTTTTTAGATGTAAACAACATTCCGTGTCACCGAGTGCAAGCGCTTGGCTGAAGCCGAATGCAGCCAAACGACACAATAAAAAGAGAATTATTTCGAAGACGTGTTGTTACTATATAAGAGAGAATCACTAATGTTTATTTATTTAAACCTGAAAATACAGACATTCATTACAAATTCTCGCAATCATCATTAAATAGCTTTTTTGAGCTCTATTTCCTTATATGGATCAATCAAGGCGGAGCAACTGTCATGACGTCAAACCTCATTATGACCTCATTACCATATTATCTTCATGTGTAGCCTTAACTGTACTGCGTACGTTGTTGTTGATGTGATTTTTTTTTTTTTTAAGAAGGGGGGGGTTAAATATTTATTTTATGCCTCTTTTAAACTAAGAATTGTAACTACTTCCACATCCTTAAGCCTTATTGTGACCTTTGAGTCAAGGTCAAGGTCAAAGGTCAAGGTCATTCAAAAAAAAAAAAAAAAAAAAAAAAACCCAAGAAATCTTTACTTTCTGTATTTTTACCTGATACTGGAGCTGAATGCATGTCCTAACTTTTCCATTTGACCCAATGTCAAAGTCAAAGGTCAAGGTCAAAGTTCAAGGTCATTTGGCGAATTGCTATATTTTACACGTATATAAGGGATTTCTTATGTTTTTAAATGACCTTGACCTTTGACCTTGACCTATATTTCAAGTCAAAGGTCAAAAATGCTGATGCAGTTGGTCCCATGTCTCTAGGATACACCGTTTTAAAAATAAGTTCATTAAATGTAAGTAGCGTAAACTTTCAGGGGCAGTAACTCATACAAGGGACCAAAGAATGCTTTCGCAATGATAGAATGAAGAGAGTACTAAATGAGTGGAAGACACTGATGAAGGTTTGGAATCTCTACGGTTTACGGTTTCGGAGGAGTAGCGATAACAAGGTTTTGTTGCAAAAGGGGTGACAACTTTTGAATGGGTCAAGCTCGGGGGACAAGAATGAAATCTTTGAAATAGTTTTAAAAGGACATATTATAGATGCAAAGATAATCAGTATATGTTGAAAGACAAAAGAGATATTAAAAAAGGTAATTTTCTCATGTTTTGAATGACCTTGACCTTTGACCTTGACCTTAAGTTCAAGGTCTAAGGTCAAAGAATCTTATGCAGTTGGTCCCATGTCTTTACGACTTGTCGTTTAGAAAAGTTTTTCATTATTCGTAAACATGAAAAATGTCCAGGGGCAATAACTCATAAAAGGGGTCGACGAATTCTTTCGCAGTGAAACCTTGAAGCGAGTACTCAGTCAGTCGAAGACATTGGTTAAGGTTTCGTACCTCTGCGCTTTATGATTTCGAAGGAGTAGCGATAACAAGGTTTTTCGTTTAAAGGGCAAGAACTCCGAAAGGGGTCATAGGTCATACTCGTTGGGTAGTTTTTCGAAATAACTTTTAATGTCCAGTATCATGAACTATAAAGTTTTTCGATAAGTCTTGCGGTTTCAAAAGTCCGGGAAGAAAAAGAATAATAATAATAATAATAATAATAACTAGGAGACTAATTGTTCAGAGAACAATTAGAGGCCTTTCCACCTTTTTAAGTGTTTCCGTGAGATTTGGGTTGTAATAAAGAAGAAAAATGCCCCCCCCCCCCCTCAAAAAAAAAAAAAAAAAAAAAAATGCTCCTCCAGCTGGGCTCGAACTCAAAACCCTTGGATTGAAAGGCAGGTGCGCTAACCATTAGGCCACGCACTCCGATGAAGATGTAGGTAGTAAATATATTGTTTAGGAATAAATAGGAATATAAGAGCACGTGTCCTTTTGTTTGTTGTCCAATGTAGTAATCAGTAATAAATAGTTTTGAGAAACACGATTGGTGTATAATAAAAAGCAGATTTTCTGTAAATATAATAAATTTGAGTTGGTTTATACTTTGAATAAATGGAGTTATTCATCTAGAGCCTAGGATACATTAGAACTGCCGTGCCGAGACTTTGTTTACGAATTTATGAAAAATGTCGCGTTCGGTTTGACCGAATATGGCGATTCAAAATAATAGGTAAGATTAAATAAACATCTCTATGTGGATTGAGTTAAATGTAACTAGCATAAATTAAAATTTCAGACATGCATTTCAGGAAGAAAAAAAGGTGTCAATGAGAGCGTGGAAATTTATTTGATAGGAAAAATCGCTATTTTCGAGATTCTTTCCATTAATATTAAATCTAAATAAAATTGAAATAAATTCCACATACTAAAGAAATCAAGAATGCTTGGTATTAAAATATTGTATTAGAGCAGGAGAATCGAATGCTATTAATAACAACTGAAGAAATAGCCGATAAAAGCTTAAATTCATTTTTATGCTCATCAGCACCTAAATTTCAGATTAAAAAAAATGTAGTATTTGTCGATAAAATTCATAATTTCGTTACACTTCAGAGACTCACCGTAAAACTTTCAGGAAATTTTTTCTTTTTTTTTTTTTTTTTTTTTTTTTTTGAAGTCTTTCCTGCGGTTGCTTAAAATCTTATGTCGATCCGAGGTGTTGTATGAGTTTTAGAGACATTTTCTACGTTGCTATTGATTTTTTTTTTTAAAGGGGGGGGGGTTGAATTATTTATTTATTTATTCCTAACATATTTTAAAGTAACAGTTGCAGCAAACTCCACGAAGTTAATCTTGATTGTGACCTTTAGGTCAAAGGTCAAAGGTCAAGGTCATTAAAAAAAAAAAAGAAAAAAAGAACTTTGCTTTAAACTGAGTTCAACACTGAAATGTACATGAATCTAGATGCATGTTCTGATTTTTTTTTTTTACCTTTGAGTCAGTGTCAAGGTCAAAGGTTAAAGGTCAACGTTCAAGGTCAAGGTCAAAGTTCAAGGTCATTTAGATAAATAGCTGATATCAACAATTTATATAGTTTTCAATGACCTTGACCTTTGACCTTGACCTTCATTTCAAGGTCAAAGGTCAAACATGCCCATGCAGTTGGTTCCATGTCTCTAGGATAGACCCTTTGAAAAAAAGTTCATTAAATGTAAGCAGCGAAAAATTTCAGGGACAGTAACTCATAGAAGGGGCCGAAGAACCCTTTCGCACTGTATAGATTGAAGAGTGTACTAAATGAGTCGAAGACACTGATGAGGGTTTGGAATCTCTACGCTTTACGGTTTCAGAGGAGTAGCGATAACAAGGTTTTATTGCGAAAGGGGTGACAACTTTTGAATGGGTCAAGCTTGGGGGACAAGAATGAAATCTTTAAAATAGTTTTAGAAGGACAAATGAAAGATGCAAAGATATGTAGTATATGTTGAAAGACAAAAGAGCTATAAAAAGAGCTAATTTTCTTATATTTTGAATGACCTTGACCTTTGACCTTGACCTTAACTTCAAGGTTTAAGGTCAAAGAATCTTATGCAGTTGGTCCTATTTCTTTACGACTTATCGTTAAGAAAATTTTTCATTATTCGTAAACACCAAAAAATCTCAGAGGCGATAACTTATTAAAGGGCTCGACAAATCATTTCGCAATGAAAAGATTGAAAAGTCCTCTCAAGTAGTCAAAAACATTGGTAATGGTTTCGAACCTCTGCGGTTTATGATTTCGAAGGAGTAGCGATAACAAGGTTTTTCGTTCAAAGGGCAAGAACTCCGAAAGGGGTCATAGGTCATACTCGTTGGGTAGTTTTTCGAAACAACTTTTGATGTCGAGTATCATGAACTATAGAGTTCTTCGAAAAGTCTTTCGGTTCAAAAGGCGGTAACGGAAAAATAATAATAATAATAACTAGGAGACTAATTGTTCAGAGAACAATTAGAGGCCTTTCCACCTTTTTAAGTGTTTCCGTGTCATTTGGGTTGAGAAAAAGTAGAAAAATGCAAAAAATGGGGAAAAAAAAAAAAAAAAAAAAAAAAAAAAAAAAAAAAAAAATTTGCTCCTCCAGCAGGGATCGAACCCAAAACCCTTGGATTGAAAGGCAAGTGCGCTAACCATTCGGCCACGCATTCTGATATCATGCGTAAGTTAATTGTTTAAGACTATAGAAGAAATGCAAGCGTATTTTTAGAATCGGTAGGGGAAGAAAGAAGTTCCGTAAAAGGAAATAGTTCCTGAATTTACAAGCAGTATATTAAATAATAAGGGACGGGCTGCGTAAGAAAACATTAACACTGTTCC